AGTCCAGGGATTTCCCGAAAATTTGGTGGAACGATGGGACTTGAGCTAAGGAAGGATCATTTTAATTTCAGATCCGGAGATTTGTTACATTTGTTATTTTCTCAGGGCATGAAGCCTGAATTTTGATGAAAAATGTAGGGGGACTGAAATGTATGAGTGTGTGCAATTTGCAGACTACATAAGCAACTTATGGTTCAACCTGAGAATCATATCAAACTGCCTATGTCAAGGTTCCACAGCTAAAGGCCACAAAGTTGAATTGATCTTAGAAAAGGTACAGAACCAGCTACTGAATGAGAAAGTGAGGCTACTGAAGGTTTGAATGACTGCCTACTTCAGAAACATATTCCTCTTTCTAGTGCAGTCTTGAGGAAGGTCACCGATTTCATTGAGAATGCGCAACTATCTCAGCCCACAAAGAGCAAGGACAGTTAAACAGAGATTCCAAACCCTAATATCATGAGCCAGCACAGCCAAGAACACAGAAGAACCTATTTAGAGCCAAAAACAAGATTATATCCAGATAGTTGAAGCACCTACGTGACCAGAGAAAGACGGCTTTGCCAAAGGATTAAACTCTACTCTCACACCACAGTTTTTACCAATTGTTGACAACCAAGCAACAAAATCAGCCGAGTCAAAATTAACTTGACATAAACGGAGGCAGAACCGCTCAGGTTGAAGGTATTGGCGGACTTTTCCAACACAAAAGCAACCCCTTAATGTTTGACACATACATGTTTACTCATTTTTCATATTGAGTATGACTTTGACCAAGGTTGAGCAGTCTGGAGGCCTCTGTCAGCCAGATTACAATGTTCCATGTTTTGTGCTTAGTTGCCATTCTGTCATTGGCATTGTGATAAGTTGTGCCGCGAGCGAGTCTTTATTCTCAAGAAGGTTATAACGATCATGACATGACTTCTAGTGACCTACACTGTTATCTGCTGTCCCCGTTTGTTACATACTGCTTCTGTTGTACCTCAAGCTGTTTGGTTTGACTGCTCACATGTATGTTAGAGGAATAATCTTCTGTCTGCAGATCTGTGTTGTAATACACTCATATTCAAGTAAGAACAACTGAAGCTCTTTGAGTTTATTCTTTAGTCACCATTATAAACACCAATCAGAAACTCAGCCATCTTCCATCAAACATCTGTGCAGAAGATTTTTTTCTTCATCACTCATCATCCAAGGAAGGAAGGCTGCAAAAAATCTTAAGAATCCCAATCCACCGCTAAATAAGGGTAGATGAACAGTGGTCATAAACAAAATGGACTACCACTGCTCAATGCCACCAACCAGTGTATACAAGGAAAAGCCCCATAGAGTGTTCACAACAGCTACATAAGCTTTAAACCAGACAAAAGCCAGTTTGTGCCATGAGTTCACCAGTAACTCCTGTTGTGGTCCACAAAGCAGTGCCCTGAACTCCAAAAGAGGAACAGCACAGAGCCACTGGTTCACAGCTGTGGATGAGGCCTACATGGAACACATTACCTGGACGTCAGGAACAAAAGCTTGGCTTTCGTGGACTAGACTTTACACATTGACAAAGACAGTAGCCTCCATTTGTATGTCCCCTGTGTGTGTGTGTGTGTGTGTGTGTGTGTGTGTAAACAATACAGGGGACCAGCACCTTCACTTTGATTCCACTTTGAGATATAAGAACCCTACAACACTGAGCTGATAGTGTACCAACAAGTGCCCATGCCCAAGAAATGTAGAAAACATTTGACGAAAATAGCCACAAGATCCTTGAAGAGCAACAACACTATGTGGGGAAAAGAATAATAAAATCCATCCCATATGTGTAGTATCTATAGATGTGGAGTATCAGAGAAACTCAAGAGGGGGGGTCAACAACCACTGCTTTCCTGTGTTGATCTAGATTCAATTCTACTTGGAGAACTTCATCCTGGATGACTGAGAATCTATGGCTACCTAAACATACACATATATTCCTTCAGTGATGCAACACCCTGTCTAAAAAACAGGAACGTCGAACAACATCATGCTTCTACTGCACCTCAATTACATATCTATCTAAATATATACCATGAAACACACACACAAACCTTTATTTCTGCTGCAACAATGTCCAACTGTGTGTATGTGTGTTTGGCCCATGTGGGCTCGAGTTAGCTGCAGTTGAAATGTGCATCATGCCACATTTGGGCTATGCAGCAATTTTGAGCCAGGGATGTACCATTATGCAAGATTTTAGATACTGGATTTAAATGTAGCTGAACTTAGCACACAAACTTGTTTTGAGTACATATTGTTTCTTTTGCACCAATCACACAGTCTTTGACTGAGACATGATGTGAGGTCAAATAAACACTCAAGCTCCCTCTTCTTAATTTGTTTCACTGTAGTTCCCTGCAGGTCCTCCACACACCTTGCAAAACAGCAAACACGCACAACTGAATGTCATGGGGTAAATGGCTATTTGGTTTTGGCTTTCTAACAAATCAACCTTGATAACATTCACTGTGCTGTGTCCATCTTGAGTGTGTGGGATGAGATTTGCTTACGGCTGTAAATCTGGCAGACACAGGCGGACAAATTCTAATTTAATTAGGTCTGGGAATAATGTAAGGCCTACACAATTTCCTTGACAAATAACCTACAGTGAATGGTAAATAACAAGTCTGTAAAATTGTAACTCTGGGACGAAGCCATCGGTTGTATAACAGCTCTGTGTTTGTTGAGTGCGAGCTAGGCAGGATGGATTTATGGTGAATAACAATAGAGAGTAGTGAGTCACAATGCTTGTGTAAAGTGAAAACGACCAAGCCCACGCAAAGCTCTTGGTGTAATGTATGCAGCCAGCACCTAATTTCCTATTCCTCTCCAAGGAAGCCTTCTGAAACTAACTCAGCCGCTCTATTTATATCAGGCAACATCTTTTCATCTCTGTGCTGATAGAGCCATTAGTTACAGCACAACCCTATAGCATCTTGACCTGAACACTAAGAAGAATGTTAAAACACTCTATCCTTCATATTCCCTCTTGAGCTTACTGATAAACTTCCTAACAGGTCATTTTAACTAAGAAAGTGGTCAATTTCCCTGCTCCGTGATGAAGATGTTGCTTTATTCATGAGCTGACAGAGCTTGTGAACGTAACATGAAACAGATACATGAATTTCAGATGTGTGCGCGTGAGTTATTCATGAATATGTGTGAAAAATATATAAACGAGGGAAACATTTAAGGATTTTAAATTCGCAGGGATGTGATTTCATCTTTACTGTAAGAAAACACCCACTGAAGTTAAAGCTTTCATATGTAGAGTTCATATGCCATTATGGATTCCAACTGAAGATTTGGTCACAAGAGAGAGATGCAATTAGACAGTCCAGAGAAACACACAGCCCACAATCCAAGCTATATAAAACATATTAATTTGATACATTTGGTAAAATATGGCCATTTATGCACATGCTGAGCATATGAACACACATCGAAGAAATAAGAGTTATTTCCATTGACTGGTTCATAATCTCTTCCACTGTTCCACGTTTTGATCCATCGTCAGAGACAACATTTTGAGTTGACCTCAGTGAAGCATCACATAATCTTTAAATAGCTAATTTTGCATATGGTTCATGCAAAGACAGCAGGCATGAACTCAAACACAATGCAGAGGTTCCGTAAAATCAGGTTTTGTATGTAAGGATATCCTTTGGCAGGTATGGCCTTAAAAAACATAGCTCAAAATATAAAAAACAAAACACGGATTAAAATAAATTCATTTGTAACAGCATTGTTCTTGTGAATCAGTTGGACCGTGGTTGCCAGGTAGTGTCATGGAAATAAGAAATGAACAAAGTTTCTAAAATGTAGTCAGTTATATTTGTAGTTGTGTAGTAGTTTTTAGTTTAGGGTTTATTGACTGTGGTAAAAGAAAAGGGGGAGGAATCATTTGTTTAATTTGGATTCATGAAATTGTGCAATTTTAAAAATAAATATGTGCTTATAATTATCAACATGCACAATATCACATTACATAAAAAAGGTGTACATTTGTTCCAGTTTGGACGACAATGAAAAACATAGCTGCCTCGGTAGAGAAGAACCGCCCTGATTTATTTGAATATAAAGGGCTCAGAAAAATCCCATTTAAGATGAAACACACTAGTGAAAATATCACTGGAATTAATTTATATTTAAAGTCTTCCAATAGAACTTTTTCCTCTAAATCTTACACAAAGAACCTTTAAATGAATAGAAGATTTTCTATATGAACATAACAATAAAGAGGTAGAACACATTGACAGATCATTGTAATTAGCACACTAGCAGCTGATTTTCCGAGAAAAGTATAAAGAAGAATCCAGCTACCACTGGGCTCTTTGCAAAAACACTCAAATTGGAAAATATGTATAAATCCTAGAAATTAATTACAATCAGTGCTTTCCTTCAAGCCAGATTTGATTATTATGACCAGCCAATGACCAGATCCTAGAGACTAAGGACAATTCAACTCTTGAACTTATTTGTTGTTTGAATAGCATAGCAACCCTTTACTCAGGGTTTGTCCTGTCCTGTCCTGAGAATTACCAGGAAACCCCGCTCGTCTGACAGCTAAGTACCACCCCTGCCTAATGTTCAGCCAGGATGTTATTATAACATGTATAAAATGTATTCACCGTCAGGAGGACGGTCCAACACGTGATTAATACACAAGAATATAATCATTCATCGTCTGGATTGATAGAGTAACGTTTTGGAGAACCTCGTACATTTCAGAGAAGAGATACAAATGATGCACACTTAACTGTGACAGGGAAATTTCTCATCTTCTTGCGACAACCTCTGATCTACGATGTATATGTTTAGCTTGTAATTTTTCAATTGTGTGTTTTTTCTGCTATTTATGTACAGAGAGCTACTGAGGAAAACGATGCAGTTTCACTTGAAACAGGGCTTTAAAAAAAGCACTATATAAGCATGCACCATGAGTATGAGGCTGTGGCGGTGTGTTCACTCACCAGCTGGACATCTGCAGGAGGCTGTTCCATTGGAGCGTGTCAGGCAGGTGGAGTCGTGCCGGCACGGACTGTGGAGGGGGTCACAGGGGTCATAAGGCTCGTTGCACAAGGGGCCACTGAAGAAGGGGAGACAGGTGCAGGAGAACTCCCCAGGTATAACTGACTCCTGACACTGAGCTCCATTTAGACAAGGCCCGGAATCACACTCATTCACATCCTCGGCACAGTCCACACCTGTCCAGCCCGCTGAGCACAAACACCTTGGATACACAGCAGAGAGGAGATATGGCACTGCAGAGGTCCTTTTGGCACAATTTGAAATGAATCCCTAAATAAATAAACAACATATTCAGTGTTTTTCTCAGGGTTAGGGGGTGTCACATTCTCTTTGGACTGTGCTACTAAAAATAGATAAAACAGCAGCACTGGTGGTTCAGATATTCTACCACATGGCATATCCTTTTTCCAATTGAAACCATCCACACGTCACATTTGTCTGCGTGCAGACTGTGATTGGATACATGAATTGACACGGCACTCCAGAATCTTTGTGAGAGACGGTGCAGGGGAACGTACAGGTTAATTGTAGAGCAGCTTTTAATTCTGGACAGCTGAATGTAGGACACGTAAGGTTAGAGCATTGAGTGGGGATTAAATGAAAATATATGCATGCTAGCCACAGACACAGAGAGGAAGAGAGACAGAGAAACACACGCTACGTTCAAACTGCAAGCCTTAGTGCTCAATTCTATTTTCAATTCTCATTTTTTCTAGATCTGTTTTTTTTAATGTAGCCGTTCACATCATCTTATAAAATGTGCCTGGTATCAGACTTAAATCTGAGCTCGTCTTTGCCCTGATGTGTCATCCCACACAGCACGATGTGTATGGCAATAAACAAGGAGAAGAATGTCGACCTAGAGTGACGTAAAAGTCTCTCCGCTGTGTGAACGTAGTCAGAGAGTGTGTGTGTGAGTCTTAAGTAGCTCCTCTTAAAGCAGATTGACTATTCCACTTGGTGGCAGTGAGTGCCTGAACACTATCAACCACTCCACCTCACATTCCTCTCCACCCCCCGGATTTTTCACCTGAAGCAGTTTTAAGTCCCCCCCAGCGGGTGGGTAGGTGGGCGGGTGGGAGGCTTTGGGCATTAGCTGAAGCAGATACACCAGCTTTTCCCTCCAATGAGTCACGGATCCCCTGAAACCTTTTCATGCTGTGAGCAATTGATTGACTCATTTGTTTTACCTGCCATCTGCAATTCATTATCTTCGCTGCCAGTGGAAGGACATACTGCCATCACCGAACAGCTTATTTTTTCACCTGAATTTATCAAGTGCACCTCGCAAGGACGGTGCCCTCGAGCCTGGCTCGCACACCTACTTGTAGCCGTTGAGGAGATCCGTGCAGGTGGCGTTGTTTTTGCAGGGCTGTGACACACATTCATCTATTTCTTGTTGGCAGTGCTGCCCCTCCCAGCCAGAATGGCACACGCACTCATAGCTCTGCAATACGGACAGAACAGGGGAAGCTTTATTAGACTGACACTGAAACAGAGCGTTTGAGGTAAAGTCTAGCATTTTAATAGGAATAAAAAACACTGTACATATACTGTGCATATAGATAGCTAATTAAGTTATGGAGCATTCTGCCACTTGTTTACTTATCTTTACCCGTTGCGTTTGAGAGTTGAAATGTAGCAACACTTGATACTCTCGATAACATTCATCATAATTGTCTTTTTCAAAATCTGCAGAGCAAAACCACCCATACACAACAAGATCTTTCCATTGGAAATCTGTTTAAACTGTGGAAGAGCCGTGTTTGTCTTACATTTTGACATTACTACTATGCAGATGTATTCCTCCTACCACCCCCCCTCTGGATAGTATGCAAACAGGTTTTTTTTGTTTTTTCAATGCCGTTCAAAGTATATGGTACAGGCCTTTATAATCAATCATGCAACATTACCACTGCATATTTATTCTACATGTAAAATGGGTTTCATAAGCATATGTCAGGAAACAGCCGGTGAATATCGTGTTTCTAATGTAAATTATGAAAGTTGTATGTGTATTTATATACACAGCTTATATAGAGCTCCTGCAAATCACGTCCTTTATTTCATCACTCCAGTCTGCGTTTTGCCAATGACTCACGACATGAGAGATAAATGATCTGCTGTCTATTACTTTCCAAACTACCAGTTTAAGTCAGATTCCTCTTTGCATACAGGATGAAGGCGGTTGCACGGTCAAGGGCTTTTCAGGATTCCTCATTGCCAGCATCCTGTCCAAAAAAGGTCCTGGGTTGCTAATCTGTACTTCATACACGGGAGGGGAGCCGTTAAACTTTGTCTGATATAATTTGTACACTGCGGGGCCCTATGGTGGTGGGGGTGGGGGGAAAACGCCGTCATCTCGTGATAAATTAGATACCTCCAGGAGACTCCAATTCCTTACCCCTGGCAATAGAACATAATCTAATTTTTTGCTGCTAAGTCACCTTCAGGGACCACGATCCTCCAAAATAAGCTAAAGCTCAGTGGGACAGTGTTCAGAGAGAGGAATAGCTGCACTGTAAACAAGACTATAGCGCGAATGGGTTTCCAAAAACTGGCCCCATTTGAATAATGAGCTGCGGATAATGGTGATAAAGTTACAATGAAGTGAAAATTACAGTGAAGGGTTTTGAACAGGACTCTGGGACAATTTGCTAAACTTGACGTTGAATTCCTGGAGTCCATTTCATTTTATAGGGAGAAAAAAGGAGCATTTGTTGTTAAGATATTCTGAAATAGTTACAGTGGCACATTCTTGAAATCTATGTGTCTTGATAGTCACAAAAAAGTATGATGGTATGTTGTCAACTTTAAAGTCCAGATCATGGTTTCACAAAGACTCAGCTACGTGGGCTGTGTCTGTCTATACTTTGATTGGTTTGTAGATGGGTGTATGTCTGGCATATTTACTTTTGAGTAGTCCATAGAAAAATAAACAGTTTTTCCATTTGAAAGGATTAAATGAACAAATCCATTCTCATTGTTAATTTTGTTTCCATTGCAATATTTTAATGGTATTAGTGTCGAGTGAACGACCCCTTCATTTAAACATTATATCATCGGAGACACTACAAGCGATGTGGGCTGCTTCCACTTCTTTTTCTTCTTTCATTCTTCAATGCTGCCTCGACTTGTCCGCAACTCCAGAGTTCTATTTAAAAAGTGTTTTCACGCCTCTAATGAACAGAACCATGGATTTAGTTTGGTCTAGACGGAGTAATGAGTTACCCGTCATACCTGTTATTTTGGTTTGGCCTAAACTGAAAAGGAGGAAATTTTTGACCAAACAAAAAGGTGTGAAAGCTTCTTTAGTTTGCCTCTGGTTACCATTGATAGACCAAAGTTTGTGCCTGAAAACTTTAAATTTAAATACATGTTAAAATACCAATGCATGATTGAGCAAACCATAATGTGGCTTAATCATTCATGACAAGAGGTGAGTTGTTGGGTAAGATTCATCATTAAGCTGTTTCTATAGAGGACCAATGCCACAAAATGAGAGCTCAAAGCATCATTGATAAAGTTTGAAACTTTATAGAAATGACTCCTGAAAGGTTCTTTAATAAATGTGAGAATAAATGTATCTTTCTCTCTTCTCACCATTTGGCCCCCACAGGTCTCACACATGAAAGAAGAGGTTTTCTATTAAATAGATCTCAACTTTCTCACATGCACAGTGCGCTAATTTTCAAGAGCACATACTTATTTTATACCTGAACATCAGTGTGTGAACGGCAAACTAGAAGTTATTTGTCTTTGTCGGAATAAAAATAAAAAACCCAAAGACTTTATCTATGACACATCTGTTTCACTGCTGCAATCTGTTTGCAAAAAAAGCAGCTGTTGCTAAAAAGGGCCCCTGGTACTCATTGCACAGTTTGTGAGCAGCATGCAGCTCCCTGGGCCTTTTTGCAGCTGCAACAGATCAATGTTATTGGCTTAAAAAACACTTGAATAACTACAGAAGTCGAGCTGCGCCTTGAAAAAACAAAACTCTAAAAATGCTCTTTTAAGCCCAAGTGTGCGTGTCGGTATAAACAGAAATCCTATACTCCGAAGAATTCATTCAGAAAATCAACTCAAAGAATCAACCGACCTTGCAGCTAAAAGGCAAACGCTTTTGTTTATTCTAAATATCCAACCAATGAGATACAATATAAACTGAGCTGCATCACCTCGGTGATGACGATGTAAAGTGGGGGTAATAAGCTGTAAATGTGGTGCATTTTTCTGAAAGAAGACTAACCGTGTCCTACGAGTGGCCGATTTCTGCACTTGATGTTCAGAGGCGTCCTAAATTTCCTGTCTGTGCCTACACATGCTTCACATATCTGGGAACGGCACCAGAAATGGAAAACATTCAGCAGAGGGGCTGACAGAATGTAATGTCACTTAATGCCTACACACAAATCTAACATAATGTGGAAATGTTCCCATACCGATTCTGATACCTGGACTCCGTGTATCTGTTAAGTACCAATAAGTACTGTTTGAATACTTGTGCATTTAGAAAATAAACTTATATATAATATGTTTTCGCAGTTGTATGCTTCCAACCCTGTCTGGAAATGATTATGGCCTGCCTCAGGTTCAACCCTTCCGATTCTCCAGAGAATGAACATAGATAATCTTTTTCTGTATCTGATCTTTTAAACACCATTGTCTTTATTCTATTTTTTTATTACTTTTTATACCTTTTGCTAGTTTTATGGTTTTTTTTTTATCCTAAGCCTTTCTTTTATTGCTGTGTTATTTTTGATCTCTTATTTCATGATTTTGATTTTATAGTAAAACACTTTAGCTGTATTTTATGTATGAAAGGTGCCATATAAATAAAATGTATTATAATAATAGAACTTCTTTCATTATCTAACTTGACAGTCATAACTAAAAAGAATAGAGGAGATCTAGCAACACACGACACCCGTCGACGCTGAAGTCTTTCATATGGTGCCCGTCCCCGTATACCTGTGGGTGTTTTGAAGTGAAGAAGTAGTGATTTATGGGAAAAGAAAACTGCTGATTTATCTGGGTGAAACCAATATACTTTATGCATGTGCAATTGGATCAGTACGTGGATTCGGGTACTTGGTGATTCCTGACCCTGCATTTTTAGTGGTGGGAGACATTTCTGTTGCTGGTGTTGGTATCTGAACATCTCTTTTGTCAAGTATCAAATATGATGCTTTATATCAGTGGTGTCAAACTCAATCACAGGGGGCCAAAATTAAAAATAGGGACTACGTCGAAGGTCAACATTTATTAAAAAGGATGGACAGGATATTGGATAAAGTACAAAAAGAAAACTTATTTAGGTCGGCTACATTCTTCTTTTGAATGTTGGCATCCTTTCTTGGCTGCCAGTTCATTAAGTTTGGGGTTAGGTTCTGTGCAGTGGAAACTCTCAAGATAGTGTGAAGGTGTGCATTAGTGAGACGACTCCTGTGTGGGTTTTTGTTCATCTTCATCGCTGAGAAAAGTGTGAGTGAACTTGACGGGGCAAGCACTGGGATCTCTGGAACACTGGAAAAATAATATCATCAAATACTCGGCAGGTGAGGAGGGGCGCTTGTTCCATGTGCGTCTAACCAGGCATTACGCACCGTGGCTCGGCCTATGGAGCCCAAAAAGTGCTTTCTTTTGAGCGGCGGACCAGTTAAGAAAGACATATGATATTGTATCTCTGGACGGATATAGTTGTACTGCGGGCCACTTGAGTTTGACAGCTCTGCTTTATATGAAGCTTGTTTTATCAATCTGAGTAAGACTAAAACCTTCTAAAGATGTGTAATTACTCAAAGAAGACTTTCTGCTTAAAAGGTGGTTTTAATTTAGGATTAGACATTTGACATTGAATATACCCAGTGTTAACTTCAATGTTTTTTTTCTTCAATTATACTTTGGGCAATTATTTTGCAAGACAAAATCTCAGGCCCAAAAGGCATAATTGGTGTAATTGTTATAATTGGCATAATTTGACTATTAGGAGATAATGAGGTGCATTTATAAGACATTATTAGACAGTCTCTGACTTTACCTTATTACACCCAGACACCTGAAACCTAAAACATAGCAGCGTCTCCTTATGCAGGACAAATCTCCCGATAAGAGCATTAAAATGTGCCAGATCCACACCTGTACACACACCTGCTTGTTGTTTTCCCGCAGTACACCCCAGAGTGATATCCGCATATTTTATTCTATTTAATGATGCACCAGTATCCGTGTTATTGTGCAGTTGTTTGTATTTTACTGCAGCAGGAACGCTTTAAACATTAACTGCATGACAGTCATCAAAAGTAATGGGCAGCAGTACCTGGTGTGATTCGGGCCCGTCAATATTTTATGAAAAACTCTTCATTGAGTTACTAACTGGGTTATTTTAAAGCCTTTCAAATGGCCATTATATCACTGGTATTATAGTGCCAAACCAAAACTGTGTCTACTCACCAGATGGAGGTCCTTGCAAACAGAGTTGGTGCTGCACAAACTGTTCACACAGTCGTCGATGTCTTGTTCACACCTCAGCCCGGCATAGCCAGGACTGCAGAGGCAGTAAAAGCCGTCCACGACTGAAAGAAGATCAGTGGACAGTTACAGCACCTTGCATCATAAATCCATTCGACTCAACTCTCAGTAGGCCCCACATCTCAACACAGGTAAATGCTGATTACGAGCATAAAGGATAATCACCCACTGTGATTCACTTTTTTTAATGGATAACGCCGTTAAATGAAATGTCTTCTGCTGTATAAGTCAAACCTGCTCTCGCTAAATCTATGTGACGGGCACCACCTCCCTCCCATCACTCTGACAGTGCTGGACACACTAACCATCTTTAAATGAACCTGTCTGCCAGACGACCACCAAGTCCTCCGCTTTTCCCATCCGCTGTCTTTCCCACTCTTTCACAATGAAAGCTTCAAAAGCACTGGTCATTTGTTTTCCCCAGCTCTCAACACACAGGGCGAGGGAGCCGGGAGAAAAAAACAAAAAAAAAGCAGCACAACAAAGGAGAGAGTCGACTTAAGGCCATTCTTTATTCAGATGTTACAAATGTGCCAATTTTTTCCATCACAAGTTTGAATCTCCCAAATCTAATCATGCATTCCTTCCTCTGTTATATTATTAATGACGTTAAAGAGGGATGCATCATTCTGTTGCTCTAACACAACACTGGTGTACAGGCAGCCAGTGACAGAGGTAATTGCACTTCTTACAGGAGTGAATTTATTACTTCCCCAGTCAGGGTCCCAGGATTCTTCATTATCCCAAAGATTTACCACGTAATCTATGCTGTCACTCTGTCTTGGTGCGTGTAGCTGCTATTACTCTCATTAAATGCTTTAGGTCCTGGGTGGCAGCAGCATTACTCATCTCAGCCACTGTGGCTATGCAGTGCTCTCGCCGGTGGCTGGCTGGCTGCTGCCGAGCACTGGCCAATAGGTCCTAGAGGCCTGCCTCGATAACCTAAGGCAAACTGGCTGCACTCGAGATTAGTCGGGACAGCTGGCTCATCTGTAGCACGGCAATGATAGGATGCTCACAGACAGTGATCCACTGCCATCGCTGTATTGTTCCGGCATGAGACGCTGGAAAGATGTCAGGAGTGCAAACAAAGGCTGGAAGGTGACTACTACAGTACAAATATGCTGCTACTGAAAAATGTGGAGTATTTTGAATATAATCAACAAAAAATACTTACTTTTTTAAATTTAGAAAGACTTAATTTTTGTCTTTCATATTAAATGTATAATTATATAATATATATATTCTTAGAAAGTGCTGGATGTGGAATATTGAAATTTATAAAAATCTTACTGGATATCACCAGTAAAATATATATATATTCTCAGCTCCATTATATTGATTTTGTCATTTATCATCCATTATTCAAATTGCAACACTACAGTGATGCATAATTGATTCCCTTTCTTCAGTTGTGTTAGGAAACTAATCAAGCCTGGACCAGCAGGTATTGTCCTAGATCCCCACATCAGATGGAATAACTCCACTCTCATAACAACCTTATTAGCTGCAGTGGTGACCCAATTGAAAACTGCCTGTCAGGCTGTAAGTGAGCAAAACAAAATCTGACATATCCGTGTGTGTGTGTGTGTGTGAGAGAGAGAGAGAGAAAGAATGGAGCTTTGCTTCCATCTCCAGTGTCTGTCATTAAGCACAGTGGCGAGATAGGCCGTTTCATACCATCATAGCAGAAGCCGTGAAAGCAGGGGCTCGAGCTGCACTCATCCACATTGATTTCACAGCGGGGGCCAGTGAAGCCCCGGCGACAGTGACAGCGGAATCCCAAAGGGAAATGGTCCTGATCCAACTCCTCCACACACACTGCACCGTTCTCGCAGGGATTACTGGCCTCACAGGGTAAGAACTCACAATTATGTCCTGGAGTGAGGCAAAGAAATGCACATTTCAAAAAAAAATATTTCAGAAATAATCTTCACTTCACTTTCTCACAGATTCACAGAGGAACAGAACAGCTTTAGGTCAAATTTAGCCTGTTAGAAGTAACAATTGCAATTTCTCAGATTACCAAAGGCGTTAAAAAAATATTGCCAACTGCAAAGTTAAGACTTTTCTGTTCTTGTTTTAGGAAACAACACAACCACAACTGTACAAACAAACTGGTGCAAGTATTTTCAGGTCACGCAAAAAGAAAACATCTGTTAAGAAAACACGTTCCTCTCAAGCACAGATAAGAACGGTGTGATGCAGGGATACAAAGATAGAGCATGCATAACGGTCTTCACAAAGCAAGTGAAAAGACTGAACACAAACATGCACAACTACACATAACGTGATGGTTATGTGTCCTACCTCTGATAATTTCTGTCCAACATAGACACAGGAGAAAAAATGTTGGGAATAAAATGAATATGAAATTCTCCCTCACACACACACACAGTATATATATGAAATCCTGGTCAAAGCAGTTGCTAATTTGCAGCAGCCAGAGACCCATGAGATATTTAAGAATCTGACGAGTTCAGAAAGTTTCCCACTGGCTGTGTCAGTTTATTACATCGAACATTTGGGGAAATATTGACATTTGGTGTTTTCTCCAGTCATAAACTTGGCAGTGAACAACATTCTGATCTGTTATGGGCAGCTGAGCAATGAGTATAAACCCTGAATCAAATGAGTGTCGAGTGAAAGTCTTAAGAAAATGTCTGGAAAATTGGGTCCGGACCTTTTCCAGAGTTTTCCTTTTACTTATGAAGAACGCAGGAGGAGATGTAAGGGTTTATGGATTTAAAGAGTGGCACCAAGTTTGTGTTTTATATCAAAGAAGACAATGAATTACTATTCGCTTCAGATCTTGAGGAAGATGAATGAGGTGCCGACTGATTTTCTAATAGCAGTCATTAATAAGATGAAGCTTTGACACAACAGCGGAAATCCTCAATGTGACCAAGAGTCCGATTCATGGATGAATGGATAATCCCTCTGAAGCTGTCCATCTTTGACAGAGTAAAAGGAACCACATCATGGAGCGACCTCTACAATGCCTTACAATAGAAATGGTGGGGTAATCAGCTGGGCCTCATTTCTGCCGCACTTCCTGCGGTCCTTGGTATTACAGCTGAAAACTTCCATTTTCATTTTCATCAGCGCTCTGAATCGCTCTGTGTCGCTCTGTGTCTCTTTCAGAAGTGATCTCCTGGTCGCTCCGCTTTAAAGCCTGGATTTGTGAAGTACTGCCCTGACTGCTGAAAAGCTCATTAGATCTGTCAGAGTGCTCCTCAGGTTTTGACCGTGGTCCTTGTTGACTGGTTGTTAGGATGACTGTGCGGAGGAAGAGACTGTCTGGATAAATGTTTCTCTATATTTATCAAAGACTGATGGTTTTTAGAACTTGTGAAATTCCAGAACTAAAATGTGACCTGCTAATTTGATATAGTCAAAACAGTATCATGTCAAACGGCTTGTGTTTTGTTGTAAATCATACAAAGCTATGCGGGTCAAAGCAGAATCTTACAGCCACATGTGTTGTTGCCTATTCTAAGTCCAACTTTTTCTGTATTTTC